GCTTGCAAAACTGTATTTTAGGCCATGCACATAATTTCATAATTTCACTTCTGCTAACATTGTACCAACATCTGCTCACTTTGTACCCACTTTGGCAACAGATCCTACATTTATCCAGTACAATTCTGGAATGATGATAGGCAGATAAAGACCATGTTACTGTTATGTATCACTGACAACTTTTAGACATGGATATGTCTCATGTCAGAAGGATGCTCCTGTACAGCTGCTCTAGTTCTCTTGTAAAAGGTTGGAGATGCCCATGGTACAATCAAAACAAATTTGAGATGGGATCAGGACGCCAACCATGACTCTGACATTTTTAAAAGAAAAACTGTCATAACATGTTTTTACCGCATTTTCAAAATTTAAACTGCAAGCCTCTGTGACTCACATGAGCAAATTAAAAACACCTGCAAACATCTCAAGACATTCTGGAGACTTCTTTGCAAATGAAGTTCACCAGCAATCACAGCCAAGTCAGGTTCTACCTAAAGTGCTATTTGGAACAGATACAATACTATTTGTTACTAACCGTTCTACAGTACACCTTTTAAAAGATCTGAACTATTCTTCAACATTAAGTTTGTTAAACAATACTGTACTAGACAATCAAGTATTGCCAAAACCTTAAGAGACTAAAATGGAAAAATGTATAAATGGAAAAGAGGAAAATATGAGTTCATAGAGCTGATAGCAGATCTGACTCTGTATAGTCTGTTGATGAAGTGAGGACTAATGGGACTCATCAAGACTGACAGAAATGCTGACAGCTAAATTTAATCTCAATTACAGTACCACAACAGAACTCCCCAGGTCCCCTTATGCCTATCACCCCTCCAATCCCAGAGCTGTTGATGAAAAAGCATTTAAAGTGCACAAGTGTACACACACACACACACACACATACATCAGCTTACTTAACATAAGGTGCACAGGAAGAAAAATATTCATGGGTATAATGTAGGAGGGTCTTCCCCTCCTCACTGCTGGGATACAGGTGGATTTTTAACATTTTCAGACTGGCAGAATGCCAATGATGTGATTCATGAGCATTTGTCAAAACAACAAGTGGAGCTTCTGCTAACACAGATAACAGGTTGCTGACATAAAAGACCTAATGTGAAATGGACAATAAATCTGACCATATGGTCCCTTGGGTGTGACTGCTTTCATTGCCAGAAGGAGACCAGTGACCCCACAGTCTCTCCTGATGATGACAGCCACATGGTGTTAACTCCACAGGGAAAAGATAGGAAAACAAAGCCTCCACCTCCCACCTCCCTCCATCCCTCCCAGAATTATAGGGGGAAAATGGTTGGGTTCAGGAAACCCCTACCCATTGTTTTGCTTCCTTCATTAGTTGGTGTGTCAACAGCTTGGCTCGCTATACGTGTGCCACTGTTTTTGTTTCACTGCACCCCAGCTGACCTTGGTGCTCTGATGTTTGGACAGATTGTTTCAAAATCTCATCAAGGCATTTTGAGCATTATGAAGTAAAACAGTCGTTTGGACTAACATAAACTGGGCCAAATATCAGACCAAAAGCAAATAAGTCTGCAAGGTCTAAAATTAAACAAATGTGACGCAAATCAGCTGCCAGAGCTCCATCAGGAAATACTGAGAGAACCAGCAGGGAGTGGCTATGTGTGTCAGGGCTTGCAGATAAGCAGAAGGTGTTAAGTAAATGTAATCTGCTGCATAAATTCATTTCAGCTATAATTATTAAGCTTATTAAGGTTAGGTTTCTTGATAAAAACATCTAAAAACATGCCATTTTTATTATAAGCAAACAAAAATTTTTAAATCTTAGTTTGTACAAATATATCTTACTCACCATCATCTAGATACATCTGATCCAGTTCTTGGGGTTCTTGCTTGACGGTGATGGCCATTGATGGCGGAGCAGCATCTTCAGGTAGGAGACTGGGGGCGCTCTCTCCATCTGGGGCTGAGTTACTTGCTGACTGACTAGGGCTGTAGGCTTGAACAAACGAACTCTCTGCAGGCCCGCCAGGAGTGGAAGGCTGGGACACCGGGGAAGATGAAGAGCTGCTGTTAGCGTAGATGGAATGGTGGTAACCTTGGGGTCCAGGACTGTTGAGATGATTAGGGCTCCCCTGGGAGTGGAGCATCCCCAGTGAAGAGTTGTGGTCTGGAGATGATGGGTGGGCAAGGCTGGGACAACAAGGGGTCTCCTGAATGGGTGGAACCATAGTGCCTGGCGGTGCTGCATGGGTGGGGCTGTTGGGGAGGCACTTGCTGTATGCCACAGGGGACAGATCATGCAGGGTAGGGCTGGAACTGGGGGATGATGGTGGCATGACAGCATGTCGAGGCGGGCAGCTAGGGTAGCTACCAACCAGGCAGGTGTCAGGTTCAGTTACAGGCATGATGGGAGCAAGCCTGGGCTGGCCATAGAAGGGCTTTGAATGAATGGACAGCCCAACAGTTCCAAGAGAATCATATTCATCAGTGGGTTCAGTCTTTATTATCGGCACTGAGAGAAAGAAAAAATAAACAGAAAATAAAGTTGAGGTATTAATAAATTGTGCAAGTAAGCCACGTGGCGCATGGAATGCATGAGTAATGCAGAGAAACAGGCACAGTTGTGGCTTCTATACCCTTCATAGTCCAAACAAACAATAACCAGTCAATATTGGCTCAGTATAAACTTGGATGAACACACTAACGGAGACCCACCACCCCCACCCATCTTTACCACACCATGAACTACAAAAAAGAACTGAGGGGAAAGAAAAATGGATGAGTCATCAGTGTGGAAAGCCACAGCTGGCTCCAATAATGAGTAAGACCTATTTTCTTTGGACTCTCCTCTAACTTTGATATCCAGTAAAACTACTTAAAAGCCCTGGATGGCTGCTGCTGCTGCTGCTGCTGGAGGAGCTCTGGACCCCCAGGTTTTCTCCACACTCGAGAAGTAATTGATTCTCTCGGGACCAAAAGATAGGAGGGGAGTGAGGAAAAGGAGATGATTTGATTTTGATTAGACTGCCTGAGCTGCTTAAGAGGCTGCAGAGCTGAGCCTGTGGTTTCAGGAGCATGAGACCTCAGCTAATGCAGGAGAGTGCTGTGACCCTACTCGCTCATCCTGCCTTCTCTCTTCAAATTTTCATTCAACAAACACACTGTCTGCATTGCTTCCTGGCCAGGTATGACCGACAGGTATCACATGTCTTCACTACACTGTCAGAAAAAGTAGGTATTATGGTACACAGACGTACATACTTAGGTGGTAAGGAGAGATCAATAAAACAAGCTCTGTGCTGAGTTATTATTCAAGTATGTATGCACACACTGTACCAGCACAAAACTAATAGGTTGGCATTAAGATACCCTGAAGCATAACAAAGTTTTTGGACTCACAATGGACATACTGTTTCTATTCATACGAATTGTAAAACAGTGCTAATGGGTGTGGTGAGTGTTGATGCCATCTATTAAGTTTTTGGCCAAACTTGCTCCATGTGACATTTACAGAAAACCAAACAGTTGTCAGAATGAAAAAGATGCCTGTCTAAACTGTTTGATTTTGAGTGATGCTAGCAGCTACAAGTGTTAGGGACAGAGTGTTTTCTTTTTTTATTTGAAAAGACATTATTCACACCTGTAGCCGCTGGGATGCCGAGATGCGTTGCAGTGATAATGCACCTGGGAGCACATTTACGTCAACCTCTCTGTTTTAAATGCCCAGGGACTGGGCTTGGTGTGTGAGGGAGCATCGTAAGATGTGTCCCATGATGCCCAGGCCTCCTCTACAAAGCCTGGGGAATAACAAGTGAGTCACATGGTCACACTACAGTAACTTCCCTCTGTGGCCTTGTTCCTTTTCTCTGCCTTCGTGAACACATTGCCAAGGAGCCAAGATTAAGGTTGTCAGCGTGATGCATATCAGAAAATTTTGATAATTTTTTCCTCAACTTAGGCATTGGAGTGTTTTCTAGCAATTGGAAATATTTGAACAACTTTAATGATCAAGATAGAAACATCTAAAAAAATGGTGAGATTTGATGGTGAGAAACAGGAGAAGACTCTTAGAGAAGAGACAAACAAAGAACTTGTCCAGAGGCTCTACTCAACATTTTGTAGATATTTGAACCACCTAAATTTGGAGAAATAGAGCTGCTTTATTGCTTTGAAAGTGGTCCCACTCAGACCAGCGTGATAATAATGGAAAGTCAAATCAGGGGTGATGAGTGGGGCAAAAGGTTCCCTTTTCAAATCAGTAGCACAGATTTGAGGTTAAAGTTGAAGCACTTCTAAATTAAGCAAAAGATACAAGTTTCAGCTTATCTCATCATTTGGAATTTATGAGAGAAAACTAAGCCGACAAAAAGGCCAATTTGTCTGAAGCATTGCGTTGATGCTACTTTCTAGCACATTGCATAACTAAGAAACCTTGTGAAAATAAATATCTAATCACTTTGGTGTTTTTCTTCAAATATATACAACTTTTTTGACTTGTTACAGATATAAAAAGAAATTTATTCTCCAGCTGGATTCATCAGCCCCTTTCTCACTTCATGTATGAACTGAAAAAAAAAATAGATTTTACCAGGTGAGCAAAAGCTTCAGCGGGCTTCAGTTTCCCCCTGTGGGTTATGTATGTCCAATGACAGAGCAGAGGTAAGCACTGTCCACTCATGGCAAAATATTTGCAGGTTCGCCCCTCTGACTTTCTGTGTGAAGCTTGCATGTTCTGCCGAAGCATGCATGGAATTTTTCTGGGTACAAAATTACAAATTTTGACCCTCAGATTAAAAACATGCATGTTAGCTTATTTATGAACTCTAAATCAGATCTAAGTGTGAATGATTGTTTGTCTTCATGAATTTCTTTGATTAACTATACAGTACGTATATAGACTAATGAACTGAAATGAAAAACACCTGTGAGGAGAAGAAGCAAGAATGAGAGGAGCTGGAGAGGAACACAGAGGAGCAGGTGACAGACAAATAGAGAAAAGTGAACACAAAATGGAAACTTAAAAGAAAACACAAACCCCTCACAAAAAGTTGGGGATGATAGTCAATTAACACTACAAATTCTATATCAATAGCTGTAAAATTCACTGGATTATAGCTGGTATACCATACAGTTCATTAGCTGAGGCAGCCATCTTGAATTGGACTGACCATAAGAGTTAATCAGGTTTAGATGTACATCCAGTGATTACTTTGTGTGAGTTCCAATAATGCTTGTCTAGTGGTACATGAGCTATTTTTTCTAATGGACAGATGAACAAACCCATTCACAAACACAGGCAAAAGCATTTTGCCCTCAGCAGTAGGCAATAGACATTAAACAATAAAGTAATTTTGTTTAAATGGCGTAGATCAGCAGAAACACTCAATGTGGAGCAGGTGTTGGTTCATTAATTCAAAGGTACCTGGTGCATTGTGTCCCACTGAGCAGACAATCTGGTCATGCAGCAAACTGTGTCTGAGTATACTGCCTGACAAAACCCAAATCTGCAGACATGACTAAAACATCTATGTCATTGGCCAGATTAAAAAAAAAAAAAAGACTGTGAAAACATACTTACAAAAAACAATGTGGAGCTCATTCACTTTTCCTGTATGTGTCACAGAAAATGTTTTTGGTTCTCTTTTGTCCAGATCCAACAACAAACCATATTACAACAAGGGAGTGAGCACCCATAAGAATCTGTCATGATATACCAGAGGAATCTCCAAATGGCCTGTAAAAACAGAGGTTCCGAGAAGCTCTTCGTCCCCGTTTTGGTCATTGTTGCCAACAGGAATTTTTCTATTCATTGTGGTTTGTGAAAACTGTTTCTTGTTTCAAAAGTAGCCCATCATGTCTCTGCAAGTATGATTGGAAATGGAGCTTGGAAAAGGAAAGTTCAGACCAGGAAACAGACAAAACATCCTAACATCATGAACAAGTACTTAGAGCCCAACCACAAATGTTGCTGATTTATATTGTGTAATATCTTTCCGATTTAGTCAGTCATTATATCTTTTCTCCTGTAAAGCAAGATTTTGCTGCATAAAGTTATTGTTTAGCTAGTTTGAAGTAAGATTCAAATATATGACCCATCACATCAAACTGAGGATTAAGTCAAATTTGTCAAAATTAACTAAACACATAGATTTTTGTTTCTTTAAGCTGCATTTTGATATCTGGATCATAAATCCTTCCAAAAATATGCCTTGATTTGTCTTCCTATTCAGGATAACCAATTGGTTTTTGGTCTGAATCCTATTTTTAGTTTATTCTAACAAGGAATTTTTGATATAATTTTAAAGAGGAAACTTCAAACAATATTTGAATACTGAGAGTTTCCAGCAGAGTAAATTAAAAAAGCTTTGCTAGCTTCTAGGATAAATAGCACAGATTTAAGGGTTTTCTGCACAAAATGCTTACATTGCATTACAAAAACACTACAGCAGGCTATTTCTCCTTAAACCACTTTGTGACCAAATCCTAGGTGTGATGTGATGGCTCGCATCTTTTCTTACTCGTTGTTGATAACCTTCAGAACAAAAATCAACTTTAAGGAAATTCTGACTGTGGTAGTGCTCTGATTGGACTAATAGAAATTTGTTGATGTTTTAAAACTGCTGTAATTGTCAAAATTTCATAGTGGATTGTTATCATGGACACTTTATATTAAATCTGACAATGCCTTTAACTAAGTATTACTCGCTTATTTATGGGCTTCTTGATCTTTTGCTAGAGCTATTAGTGGCAGTAGGAGTTAGCCTTAGCACTTCTGGTGCAGCTTAGAGGCTCTTCCAGCTGGATTATTAGCATGTCCAACTTAGAGGAGACCCCGGGAAAGACCCATGACACCCCGGAGAGGCTTTGTCTATTAGCTGGCCAAGAAATGCCTTGGAATCCTACCGGCAGAGATAGCGGAGGCTGTGGAAAGAAATGTCTAGGCCTCCCTGCTCAAGCTGCTGCTCCCATGATACAACTGTGGAACAAGAAGGTAACAATGGTTGGAAGGATTGAGTGGTCATAAATCTGCTTCGGAAATGGGTTCCTAAAGGCTACAGCAACTAGCAAACTGGTCTAGTCTGTCTAAAAAATTTTCATTTTCTAAATTTCAGAGATTCATGTTTACATTTTATGTAAACTTTATCAGTTTTGTGTAACATGGGTATTCCAAAAAATACTACAAATGTCCACAGGAAAAAAAAATGACCAAAATACTCTAAAAGTGAAAAGTAAAAGTGCTCCTGCCACAAAAGAGGGTCCATTTTACATCAATATCCATTTTACTGAGCTGAATTTAGATTACTAAATATCAGTGTCCTGATGCTACTGAATGTATCAGTCCACCTGGAGTTGATTAAACCTATGACTCATTAGACACTAGCAAATACTAACTACATGTCCTTCTCAAAAATTAGCATATTGTGATAAAGTTCATTATTTTCTGTAATGTACTGATAAACATTAAACTTTCATATATTTTAGATTCATTGCACACCAACTGAAGTAGTTCAA